ATTTGAGCACAAAGTGAGCATCGCCACTTTTCGATCATCTCGATAATCATTTATCTCATCTTTTTGCACATTATTAACCTCTTAAACATTTAAATAATTTCATTAAATCTCAAACAAGCAAAGATACCAACCATTTCCTTTGGTTTTGACGTTGTTCTCACGTTTTGACGTCGGTAAGTAAACCCAGATTGAACATTTCAGTCAAACCCCAACAAATGCAATGGGAAAACTTGGTTTTATTCTTCATTGAAGTAAAAGCGCATAGGTCTAGCTATGTCTAGTGAATTCAAGGAAAAGCACAGTAATTCGTAATACAGAACATATTTGATAGATTGGATTGATATTGATAGATTGGATAAAAACTAAAACAGCCAAAATTCCGGTAGTTGAAAGGAAATGGAGCACGTTTTGGGATTCGAATTTAGACTTGGGTTACATATTTTATTTTAACCACTTTACTTTTTAGTTTTTACTTTACACTAACTCACGTCATCTTTTATCTCGTAGCACATCAATCCATAGGGATGTTTGCAATCGGCAAACGTTTTCCCATTGCATTTGTTGGGGTTTGACTTTTCCTTGAATTCACTAGACATAGCTAGACCTATGCGCTTTTACTTCAATGAAGAATAAAACCAAGTTTTCCCATTGCATTTGTTGGGGTTTGACTGAAATGTTCAATCTGGGTTTACTTACCGACGTCAAAACGTGAGAACAACGTCAAAACCAAAGGAAATGGTTGGTATCTTTGCTTGTTTGAGATTTAATGAAATTATTTAAATGTTTAAGAGGTTAATAATGTGCAAAAAGATGAGATAAATGATTATCGAGATGATCGAAAAGTGGCGATGCTCACTTTGTGCTCAAATCTATAAACGAACTCTTTCTGGTGAACTGAATTCTTAGTTTTTCTCACAACAACGAATTGGTGTCAGAAGATAAACAATGCAGAATTCAGGGCACCACAAAAACATCCGAGAACTTCAAACTGTTCATCTCTTTTCTATGAGATTCCTTCAATTATTTGATTGTTTAGCCGACTATGATTGAAATTTTTTGGCAAACCTTTCTAGTACCCAACCCTTTCATTTATCAGGACAATATTATATCATTTTGTAGCCAATTAAATTCTACGTCGATTGGTACCAAATTTGTGGGTTTATATTAAAAATTCCGGGCGCTACAACGTTTCATTCAAAATCAGCGGGATCCCCGTAGCCAATTAGGAAAAATTAGAGCGAAAAAACTGTTTGTTTGAGAGAAAAATTTGAAGACCCGTAAATTTTTTTCCTTTTATCCAATCTTTCTAATTTAAAAAATTTAACATAAATATGAATGATTCTGCGTTGAATGATACCAAACACTTGATGGTTGGACGCCCCTAGACCCACTCATTCATAATCGGCTACGACACATCAACAATATAGTCTAACTTGAATAAAAAGCGTTCTCAAAAAGACTATTTTCACGAAGTTGAGCCTTTTCGAAGACTAAACATTTCAATTCCAGGCCGATTTTAGGCCGATCTGAGGCCGGCTTGAGGCCGATTTGAGGCCGATTCGACGCCAATTCAACGCCGATTTGAGGCCGATTCGAGACCGATTCGAGACCAATTCTAGGCTGATTCGAGGCCGACTTGAGGCCGATTTCAGGCCCATTCGACGCCAATTCAAGGCCGATTCGGGGCCGATTCTAGGCCGATCTGAGGCCGATTCTAGGCCGATTTGAGGCCGAACGTAGGCCCCTTTTAGGCCGATCTGGGGCCGATTCGAGGCGAATTCATGGCTGATTCGAGGCCAATTCAAGGCCGATTCGACGTCAATTCGATGCCGATTTGAGGCCAATCGGGAACTTCAAACTGTTCATCTCTTTCTATGTAAATGAGTACGAGTAAACGGGAGGTAGTCAAATGAGCGCCAAAAATTGAGCGCCAATCATTTCAGCGCCAATCATTTCAGCGCCAATCATTTTAGCGCGCGTTCATTTCAGCGCGCGTTCATTTCAGCGCCGCACCAAAAATGACTGGAAAACATTCATTTCAGCGCCGAATCAGCCCATTCTGTATATGCATGTTATTTTTGCATTTTCTGCATGATCTCAAAGTTTTTACTGTATGTTTTTATCTAAATCATCTAAAGATAAAAATAATTCTTGGCAGCAAAATAAACCAAAATAAATCATGAACAAAACGTTACTTTGACTCAGAGTGTTCCTTTGTCTCGCCACTTCTTGCGCAGTTCACGAGCCTAAGCAAAGAACTATGTTAACTGTAAGCAAATTGTAAACGAAAACGGCAAGAAACGGTGAAAAAGCATGCTATTGGGGGAAAATATCATACAACTAGCAAATTTACACATTTTCATCAAAAAAACCTTAAATACGAGCTAATCTAACAATTTTTTTCCGCGCATTTGGTGCCTACTGCCGTGCCCTAGGTCAAATGAGTGAAAAAGTGTAAAAAACAGAAGCAAAACCCTAAAAACATGCAAAAGCAGCGTAGAAAGCAAAAATATTAAAATTTAGTCGCGCTGAAATGAACGTTTTCCAGTCATTTTTGGCCCGGCGCTTAAATGAACGTTTTTAGGCCTTTTTAATTTGGCGCTCAAATGATTGTTTTCCAGTCATTTTTGGCACGGCGCTCAAATGAGTGGCGCTGAAATAAGCGTGAGCCAAATCGTTGGCGCTGAAATGATTGGCGCCCAATTGTTGGCGCTCATTTGACTACCCCCGAGTAAACAGTACAGTACTTTCTACAGTCAGTAACTCTGGGGTTACGATAGCTTGTTGAATCCACTATAAAATCTAGTGGTTCGTAACTTCCACATACCGCTACAAGTCCAATCATGGTGGCCATTTGTTTCACATCGATCGTCAAATTGCCAAATGTTCTATAGAGGAAAATTGTTGGATTGAAAAATGACTCACAAATCTCCATTCCGACTATTTCGAATCGTTTTCAAAAATTCTGGGTGTTTATCATAATAATCATTATCTCCTTCGCGAATCGCTTGCTCAATTTTGTTGGCCAAAGGCCGAGTGGAACCATCCTCCGCATATGGGGCACCGTAGTCGTACGAGGTCAACACCTAGATCTTTTCGCTATGAAACTTTGATACAGTTTTACAAATGTTGATTATTCTAAGGTAAATTTTAGATTTAGATTCTGAAAATCGCAGTTTCCAAGCGATTCCAGCACTCTATCATAAAGAAAAACAGCTTTGAAAAGCAAAATTTTTGAGTATCCCATCTTGTGCGCGCTGAAATGCGTCAAATAAATACTGTATTTGTAAATGTTAATTTTACCATTGTGTAGCCCTTGAAAAGGGCTCTCAGAAAATGTATAACACTAATAGTTTAAACTGAAAGACAAGGGAGTTACAGATGCGCGAAAGTGACGATCGTTTTTCAAATATGATATTTCATTTTCTAGTACTGGAATTGTTGCCTTTTAAAGAGTTTGAACTTGATCAACCCACTATATTATTATTATTATTATTCCATTATTATTTCACACTATCAGGGGTACTGTGGAACATAATCTTCAAGAGGTACTGAAATAATGGGTGATAAAATCCCGTAACTTTTGGCGCACTAGGATGCAGTAGCTCCAGTCGTTTTCTAAAATGTGTTCCCTTTCTCCCAAACTACCGTAATCTTGCTTTCAATTTTTATCCAATCAATCCACTTTTTGTATATGTAAATTTAGTTTTCCGTTCGATTTAGAATTATGATAAACCCAAAGGAGATAATTATGGAATGTTGTGCTCTAATTAAAATTGTTTGAACATGTTTTTCTATTGTTTCTTTTGAATATTAATAATTTCTAATGTTTTTAGTAATGGGTACTACAAAGGAAACGACGTCGGAGAAACGAAATGACTTTCTACGAATGAGACGAATGTGCCAAATTTTTCGCGCAACTGGGTCCTTTGCGCAACTCGCCATATCTTTCTCCTAATTAGGCCAATCTCTATGATTTTGGTCTCATTTTGTAGATCTCAACAAGTGTAACAAAACGACACTAAAATACTCTGAAACTTCTGAAAAACATAAAGCAACGACTGAAGCTATTTCTGATTTAGATCTGAATTTGAAGTTTAAATTTCAAAACTCACCGGTCCATTCCCGTTTCCTCCATTCCAATATCCAAAATTCGTTCCACCAAAAGCCATGTAAAGATTGAAATTGAATTTCATCAATTTCATTGATCTATTGAAATACGGATTATAGTTTAAGAAGGTATTCACTTGATTCCATCAACAACTTCATCTTCGGATGGAATTTCTTTTCTCATTTGATTCTCGGCTTCATTCCAATACATAATCCATCCTGTGTAGTACTCGGAATTCACGAGTGGACCTGCATTTAGATTTTGAAAACTAATGCAAGACTTAGGCAAAGAAAGATGTCCGTCCATCCGTCTGTCTGTCCGTCTGTCTGTCTGTCTGTCTGTCTGTCTGTTTGTATGTCTGTCTGTCTATCTATCTGTCTGTCTGCCTGTTTGTATGTCTGTCTATCTGTCTGTCTGTGTGCACTACTCCTCCGCTCCCAGTGGGCCGTTTTAAATCACTAACTATGAGTCCGCTTTAGAACTCCCAGTAGTTCTGCAACATCTTTTTAAATTTAAAAAAAAACCAAAGGTATCGACGCTTGCAGAAATCGAACCCAGGCCGTGTGGTTAACGAGACAAGTGCGCCCGCACTGCGCCATGAGCATGGCCGAGTGGTTAACGCGCGCGTCTCTCAAACTAACGGGAGAGAGAGGTCGCGGGTTCGACTCCTCTCGCCGCCAATTCTTTTGCTTTTTGCTCGAAATTTTTTTGTTGGTTACATTATATTACGGTAGCTTGTTGCTGCGAGAAAAATGAAGGATTTAGTGCTCCAGAAAGGGTGCGTTTACCGATTTAAGCACAAAGCACATGAGTACCTTTTCCACCGGGGAGGAGCTGCTGGAGCTGGAGAACTTGCTGCTGAATCTCTGATCGATTGTTGAAGCCATCAAAGTTGATTGTCGGTAACACTCCATGGATCATTCCACGTTTGAGCGATTGAGCGCATCGGCTGAAAGTTTCATAGATTTCATCTATGCACCAGGAAGAGTGCGTTTACAGATTTGTGCAAAGAGTACGCTTGACTTACTCTTTCTTGTAAAGATTTCTTACTTGTGAAGATTTCTTACTTGTAAAGAGTACAGTATCCTTTCCTAAATGCTTCAAGGCAAGAACTCGTAACCATTTCATGTACTTTTTGTCACGTTTTGGCGTCCAGCCGAATCCGTTCTCGATTTGCACCTGTGAATCTGTTTTTCGATATCTTTTAGATCTTATCTTTCTATCTTTTAGAAAAAGATTTCAAAAAAATTTGGTTTTTCTCTTGGGACAAACGGTTTTTGGGAAGATTTTGCCTTAAACTTGGCTGTATTTTGCTGAAAACTTTGCTACTTGGCTGTATTTTGTTTCTTGCCGACTTCAGGTCGGTTAAAAAATTTCCCTTTGTCTTTGAGCCGTTCTTTTTCCACATCCTTTTTCAGTTCCTTGTTTCAGTTCCTTGTTTTTGCTTGCTTTTCAAAAATCTCCTTATTCTCTGATCAACTGAAAACGATCGATATAGATAAAAGCTTTTACGTTAGGCATCCTTTTAAGTCGTATTTAGCCTATTTTTCTAGCTTCTGCAAAGCAAACGGAAATTTTGTGTTTACAACTCCCCGATAATGAAATATGGAAAACAAGGTTTTGTAAAAATACGCAAACCCGCGACCTTTGGCTGATCAGGCAAATGTGCTAACCACTACACCACAACGCACCCGATCTCCGTCACTCCAGAGGGAGTTAACTACTATTTGGAATCTTTCCAATTAAACTTCTTTTTGCATTTGTTTCTACTCCAACAGTTCTTCTTGTTCATGCTTGTATTCGAACGTTTTCAACATGTAACTCATTCCATTTTCTTTCAAAATTATCAAGATTTTAGCAACTCTAGCGCTCAAGTGAGTTTTGTAGAAAAAATACAGCCAAGTTTGAGGCAAAAATTGACAAAGTTTGAAAAGTTGATTGTGACGCTGAAATAGATAGCTTTTCACAATGAAAAGATTCGTATTTTATCAAAAGATCCAGATTTCCCAGAAGAATCAAAACTTTTAATACTTATTTCTGAACCAACCATCAAAATTGGACCTCCATTATTGTACAGCATCGGTTTGATCTTTGGCAACAAGACATCGAACCATTTCTTCACATAGAACAAGTAACTAAAATTTGTTTTCTCTAGACAATTTGTTTTCAGTTTTCTAAAAGACATCTATTTTTAAAAATTATCCTTTCAGTTTTCATCTGATCCTGCCAGTTTTCATTTAGATCAACTCAATTTTGATATCATTGACTGAGGCTTGTCATTCTCTCACAGAATTTGACCAAAAATTGGGTCTGTCTGAATGAAATTGGCGGGATTACGGTAGTTTTCGAAAATGGATGCTTTTTAGAAAACGAATTACCGCAATTTCTTACCGTTCATCTGAAGAGCGAAGCGTCAGATTTCCATCAGTAACATATGCCGGGAAACCACCGTTTTCCCATTCTCTGAAAGTATATTGGCCATTATATTGCTATTGTTAATATACTTAATTGTGTATCTAAAATATTTCTAAAATATTACCCGCAAACGTAGGGACCGACTCGTAAAATTGTATACATCCCATGTTGTTGCCAGGCCAATCGAGAGAATTCGGTGAAATTGCGATCATCGACAAAGTTGTACCTGAAAATGAGCTTTTTAAATGGAACTAGTGGCATACTGTAGCTAGCAATTGTATTTTAGGCGGACTGCTTGTTACCGTAATGTAGTGTACCGTAAGACAGAATGTAGCTACATTCCAAAAAGGACAAAGAAGGCAGGAAGAGCCCCTTGAAAGGGCACGAAAAAGAGACCCGATCATTGCGTCGTATGGTGAAGTGTCAAAGCGTCTGTCCCTCCCTCCGACCGGGATCGAACCCGATGCCCGATTCGATCCCGCTTCCAGCCTTCTTTTGCAAATGCTCGGATGCTTTTGGGTGAGATGGGAGAAGCTTGGAAATTGAGTTGGGAGAAAGGAGGAGAAAAGCTTCAGTTCAAAAAGCAGAACGCTGGTCATAAGTCTTTACAAATTCCATATTCTATTCGACAAGATTACAAAAGTCTTTTCGTTTCTGTTTGACAGAAAATCCTTTTCCGGAGTTTACTTACTGTCCCTCGAAAACTTCGTGAAAGTTCCACGGGATGTAGTATTGAATTGCGTTCAGTCCTAGGTCTCGTAGCTGTCTCAGACGCTGGCTCCATCGCTTTTCGTGAATCCGGAAGTAGTGAATTGAGCCTAGAAATTAGTTTATAGCTTCAATTTAGCATATTTTATCGAGATCAGTGTACTGTACCCGAATAATATGTGAACGGTTTGTCGTCCATTCGAAAAACTCCATGCACGTAGTCGACAGTGAAGGAACGTTGTTGTGATGGAGTTTTGGTTTCATTTTGGTGCACGCTAAAGGTAATAAACTGTTTAATAACTTGACCGTCTGTATCTGTATTAATTATTGATTTCTAAAAGGTGCCACCCTTTGGGAAAGCTATCGTAACCCCGGCATTTTCTTTGTAGATGAAAATTTAGATTAACTCGTACTATTCTCGTAACTATTCTCGTAAAATAAGTCCTAAAATCTCGTAAGTAAAATTTCTTAGAACCAGACAATTAGCTTGAGTTTTTAAAAGCTCAATTATGAGGGTTATTGTAATTCCCTGGTAACAAACGTCTTAAAAAGAAAAGCCATTTCTAAAACCTGTCCCTTTTCTCGTAAACTACCGTAATCTTGTCTCTATTTTTATCCAATCCATCCACTTTTTATATCTTTCGATATCCTCTGTGAACCCTCACAGAATCCGACAAAAAGTGAATAGATTGGATAAGAATTGGCGACAAGATTACCGTAGCTTTTAGAAAAGTGACACATTTTAGAAAACACAGCCTGCGAAACTCTTCACTTACAACCCCTGCTTGCAATACGATGTTGCAAATATAGTGAAAAGTAGCAGGAAATCTCTCATTTCCCTGAAAATCGATGAAGTAATTGCTTTTTGGGGAGAAAAACCTTATTCGTGCTGTTGATAAACAAATGGGAATCACGGGGAAACAAATGCCATCGTTTCGTTTCGTGTTTCGAAAAGTTTCGTGTAAAAATCTCATTTTTGGTTCAAATTAACTCACCTAGCGGTCAAAGTTAGTGCAGAATAGAAAATGGATTACGGTGAAAGAGATGAAAGATAACCAAAAATATAAAATCTGTACTACAGACACGATATCAGTGCTTGACGCTTGACTTGACTTTCGGATGAAGGGGCTAGGGGAGGGGATACGTCTGCGCGCAATAAAGCGAAAAGTCGCCGTTAAATTTGCTCACAGTAAGTGCTATTCGATGCGAAAAAATGTCCTAAATTCAAATTTGAAAGAATTTTTCGAAGCCGTTTGACAGATTTTTTAAATCGAAAAAATCACTATTTTTCCATATAAACGCCAAAATTGCCTCTCTTTTACAGAGTGGTTCTCGGCGAAAAGGAAATTTTGGTGAGCGTCATATACCAAACTTTATGCTTAAGGGTCTTGTGCACATTTTGACATCAAAACGAGAGCAATTAAGTGAATCTGTGAAAAGTTGATGCCTTTTGAACGTTAAAGTAGCGTTTTTCAACTTCCTGTGCGCTAAAGCGTGGGCAAACTACCGTAACCATTGAAAAAAAACAAAATTATAAAACAAACGAATGTGTTTTTTATTTTCTTCACTTCTCATCAAAATTTTGGCTCTTTTTTTATTATTTACATAATTTTGTTTCCAAAATGATTAATCCAAAATGATCCATAATGATTTGTATTTTACAGGTAAACTGATTGTAGCAGGATTGTGGTTTTTCAACCTTGTCCGGGAGCATTAAAGTCAACTTTGTTGTATTTTTGTAACTTTGTTGTAAAGGAGCTGTCCTTTGTCACACATTAGCACTATTCTTTTCTTTTCACTGTTTTCTACGCGAGAAAGCCTGAATTGAACAGTTTGCAGTAGACTTCGGAAAACAAAACTTAACCAAAACCAAAACTACCAAAACCAAAACCATAACAAAACCAAAACCAAAACAAACCAAAACCAAAACCAAAACTAACCAAAACTCGCCAATATCTCGCGACTGGGAGGAGCTAGCGGAAATCTGTTTTCAGATTTGAAATCAGCGTCCAAAAATCTATCCCATAGGCTATTTTTTGTTTTGAAATTTCGAGGTCGTGTTTTGATCCTTTTTTCGGCCGCGAGATTTTGTGGAGTGAGAAAAAGTGAAAGGCTAATTTGCATTTTACATTAAAATTTGCATTTTGCAATTTTAAATTTACATGTTAATTTATATGCAAATTGAGTTTGGTTTGTTTTGGTTTTGGTTTTGGTTTTGGTTTTGGTTTTGGTCTGTTTTGGTGTTTTGGTGTTTTGGTGTTTTGGTGTTTTGGTGTTTTGGTGTTTTGGTGTTTTGGTGTTTTGGTTTTGGTTTTGGTTTTGGTCTGTTTTGGTGTGTTGGTTTTGGTGTTTTGGTGTTTTGGTTTTGGTGTTTTGGTTTTGGTGTTTTGGTTTTGGTGTTTTGGTTTTGGTCTGTTTTGGTCTGTTTTGGTCTGTTTTGTTTTGGTCTGTTTTGGTCTGTTTTGGTCTGTTTTGGTCTGTTTTGGTTTTGGTTTTGTTTGCCGAAGTCTAGTTTGCAGCACATTCTTTAATTTGATAAACCCTCCAGTGAACACATATTCAACGTTAGACCAAAACCTCTTCTTTAACTCTTGTAAAAAGCATTAACCTAACAAAAAGTTGGATTCATATCATTAATCGATCGAAATGTTAAAAAAACAACAATCCTTTTGAATATAAACTGATAACTCTAAGTTCTATCCATATAAAAATTGAATAGTCACTTTAATGGCAAGACTTTGTGAACCCAGTCAACTCAATGTCTCCTGTAAGCTGAGAATGTCAAGCTAGTAACTTGATAAAGTTTTTAAACAATTAGACATGAGCAAGATAAATACGTCAATCCATCGACTTTTCAGAAGATCTTAAAAGCTGTGTTCGATGATGGAAAGTGCCAAGATGGCAAGATGAACGAGTGGCAACGACTTCAATATACAAGGTGCGGCAGAGTTACGTAGGCACTTGAATGCATCGCAAGCAAACACTATACAAATCTCATCTGAAAGCACTAAGTGTCATCATCATCTAAAAGCTTGAAGTCTTCTCTAAAATGATGTATCATTGAGATTTTGATGAGAATCTTTCGCAACCAACCAGAACCAACAAGGTTCGTTCGAGCGCGAAAAATTTATGTATTTCTATATTGAGAAAAAATGACAGTGGCCCAAAGGGGCGCCGAAGTTAGTAAGCAAGAATCCCACTCTGGTTGGTTACAAAAGATTCTCATCAACATTAGAGGAATCATTCTACGAAGATGATGTAGATTAGTAATTAATAGGTTGATGCATAAGTCTTTTCGTTTTTTTCGTACTTCTGTTAAAAAGTAACAAATTCACCAATTAATCTATAGTTTGCTCTATAAAAAAAGTGTTTATTATTCAATTTCCCATCATTTTAAATCAATTTGAGTTCATTTTCAAGCAAATTCGAAAGAGAAAACGTGCTTTTTGTAAAAATCTATAAAAAACTCTACGGAAAATTGGCTGAATGAATTTCTCTGAAATTTTGGCGAAATATCAAACGTTTTTTTTCTCTATCTTTTATCTATTGACACGAAGATAGGTTTTCTTTAGCTAAGGTGTCTAAACTGCATCATCGAGTTAGCCCTTTTTGACTACCCGACTTCATACTCTCAAGAAAATCCAGGCATTAAATATTTTTAAACCCGTTTTAATGTTATTTTGCAGAAAAATAATTGGCTTTTCTAATGAAATCAACCGTAGTTTAATTGGTGCATTTGTTGGCTTGAAACGGCAGACGAAAAGGAACAAAAAGACTTATGCATCAACCTAATACTTTCCGGATTAGTAATCTATTATTTTTTTGTTTTAGATAATACTGAGCCACCAGCTGCTTTTGAACCAAGTCCGGAAACAATTGAAGATCCGGTTAAGAATTATGAAGGTTTGTTTTTACATTTCCGAGTTAAATTTTTTATTTAAAGTTCAAAACTATTGACCTAGCTAATGTTGTTTATTTCTAGACAATGGTGACATCAATAGAAAATCAATTCAACGGGCGCAAGAAAAAACAAAAATTGGACTCGAAGAACAAGCAAAGGAAATGCTATTGATAGTGAAAAAAGGTACTGAACGAATAATTTAGCGACGTAAGTGAAGTTCTCTTTAGTGAAACTACAATGCGCTCAGCAGTTGGTGAAGCTTCTTTAACTGGAAGACAAGGTTTAGTGTTTACTTTTTTGAACTTGTTTAAGTGATTTTTCAGGACACAAACATTGCATGTGCTCCGGGGGATGCTCTTCGAATCGCTGTTTATGCCACCGGATGGGACTACTCTGCAATTCCCGATGTCATCACTCAAATACCTGCAGAAATAAATGATTATTTTATTGTTAATATACTCGTTGTTGTTTGTTTATCGTGTTATCTTGTTAAAATAAATTTAATTAATCATTAAAAATGGCGTAGTTTTAAGATAAACATTCCGTTAATTTTTTTTATTTATTCGTTAATTCGTTAATTCCGGGGGAGGGTATTAATCGCGGCCGGGTGACGATAAAAATTTTTTTACGGCAACCACCTGTTTTTTTATTTTAATATTGCTGATTTTATTATAAAAAGAATAAAAATCACCCGGCTAGAGTGATTTGATGGGTTTACAAATTTTTGGAGACACTGCAAGGCTTGGAGAAAAGCAAGATCGTCACTCATCAGACACCTCAGCTAAAAGGCACCTATTTGAGAAAACTAAAACCACAAGCGACCACAAATGGAAAAAAGATCTAATTGTGTCAATCAAAGCGCTGAAGACGTCCTACGGTGGAGGAGATCCAGTCACTTCTGGTGAAGATGCGCGGGAAATTGATAAGATAGGAAGCCGATTTGAGGAACTGCTGTACTCGAGCGAAGATGAAAGTGAGCAAGAGGAAGAATTATAGATTACCAAATCTATTTTTATTGTTTTTTGTGCTTTTTATTTTGTTTTTAAAACAAATTTATCTGCAATTAAAACTCAATCGATCTAGACTGTGCTGAGGTGTCTGATGAGTGACGATCTTGCTTTTCTCCAAGCCTTGCAGTGTCTCCAAAAATTTGTAAACCCATCAAATCACACTAGCCGGGTGATTTTTATTCTTTTTATAGTAGAATCAGCGATATTAAAATAAAAAAACAGGTGGTTGCCGTAAAAAAATTTTTATCGTCACCCGGCCGCGATTAATACCCTCCCCCCCTTTAACGGAATGTTTATCTTAAAACTACGCCATTTTTAATGATTAATTAAATTTAACCGAAACTAATGTGAAAGAAATTCGCCAGGAATGGTTCTATTAGGTTGGGGCATATGAAATGTCGGCGAGTTTCACACTCCCTAATTTCCACATTTCACCATGGATTTCTCTCATCTTTTGGCATTAGTTAGTAGACAGGTGTAAGATATCCATATTAAAGTTTGAGCCACTTTCTGTGGTGAAATGGCTAAGAACTGACAGCTCGAAGATGCAGGAGTTTTAGATGCCCGTACAATCCGTATTTGACCATGAACATTTGGCCATTGTATGCTGCACGACTAGAGTGTCTGTGTGTCAAAATTTCAGCTAAATCTGTGGTGAAATTGTTTGTTTATCGTGTTATCTTGTTAAAATAGATTTAATTAATCATTAAAAATGGCGTAATTTCGATAGTTTTAAGACAAACATTCCGTTAAGGTGCTAAAGTGCTGAACATACTAGAATTGTGTTTCATTTGACTAGCTTTGGTCGAAAAAATTAATAAAAATCTTTGTGAAATGACTTTTTTAGGGAAAGTAGATTTCAAAGATAAAAGGTTTCAAAACCGGACGTTCGAAATTGAATTGTTTCAAAATCGAACGTCCAATTTAAATGGTTTCAATATTGGCCGTAATTTATAATCGATGTTGCTCTTTCTTTTCCGCTCCAAGAGAAATCGCTAGAAAATAATATAGCTCAAAAGCAAACCGTTTTTTGATTGGATAAGCCGTTTTTTTAGAAAACACATTACCCAAAAACGATCGTTTATAACTTGCCAACCTAATAGAAAGCGGCGCAACAACAGGACAGTTTTTTTTTCTGTATACTTTTCGTAATGTGACTTTACTGGGGATTAAATGCACTTTTGAATGATATGATGATGTTTACTTTTACTTTTTTTACACTATCATAAAATAAAACTAAGAGTAAAAGTTTGAAAGTAAAGTTTACAAACTAAAAACTTTTTTTAGCGTCTTTCGAAGCAATCTTTGCGTTAAATGTAATTAGAGAAGAAAATTAGCGTTTGAATTTTAAATTAGCCATTTCTTTGCCGCATTCACGCTTTAGAATTACATTATCTGAGATCAAAACACTAGTGTCAACTATGATTGAAATTACTCTTGTCTATTGTACTACACTCTGTCAAAAAATTATAGACGCACCCTGTTTTTTGCTCGTTTAGAGCCGGATATAAGTGCTAGTCCAGTGAAAAGTATTTTTTACTTTCTTTAATGTAAAAAACAACCCATGAAAAATTTCAAGTCATTTCACTCATCCAAAGTACTTTATCGTACAAAAAACCTTTTACCCGCTAAAAATTCTAGACGCAACTTAAATTTGACGATTTATTCCGTTAGATAAATGAGCAATAAAAATATTATTCACAGATTGACCTATTTTTGACGTACAGTTTATTTTTTCAATAAAAAACACAAAAATCACAGTCTCTTCCGGGTTTTCTGTCCTCGTTCAGATAAAACCCAAAGATTCCAAGTCATCTTTGGTTGCATGCAAAATATCGTAAGCGCCCAATTCAGGCAGATCCGCAACGATCGAGTAAGATTTTTGCTCCTCGGCAAGCGATCGAAAAGCCAACGTCACGACGATTAACAAAGCTTGAAAAGCGAGGAATAAGAACAGTGAAATACTGGAAATCTGTTTTTTCTTAAACTCTTCATCGAACTCACATATTGACTGTTCTCTTCGTGGTACAGCAGCTCTTTTTCCGAACTTCTCGTTCTTTTTCATCCTCTCCCTCTGGTTTCTTCTTTTGTCCACAAGCGACATAAATCCAATCAAGAATGAATCCGCATACCACCGACATAATGCAAGTGGTCAAACAAAGGACAATGTAGGATGCTAAATGCCGATGATTTTCAGAGACACACTTTTTTACTTAAAAAGCGCACTCTTGACGATCAAGATTTGTGTTTTTAAACGAACTCACAAAGGCCTGCAAAGCCTTCTGTTTTCGGGAGATTGTCGGCAACAACGGTTAACATAACCGACAACGCCAACAAGGCACACAGACCGATGTTGATCTGAACTTGAGCTTAGAAAAGTCGGCAAAGAGAGCGTATTGGAGGGTTAACATCTTCGAGAGCGTATTGGAGAGTATAAAGTTAACATTTTGAAGATGAGAAATAGAAATTATATGTTAAAGTGTACCGGATCCGAGGCATTTTCGTGTTTTTGCGGAAACAAGATCCCGGTGATTGTCAAAGTTGTGACGAGAAATGACGGAAAGATAATAACCAGAGTATAATAAACCGTTCTTCGCTCGAATGTCATATAAAAGCGGATCTGAAATTTAGACCTTGACTTTGAAGAGGCCAACAAGGCCTTTGAAGGGACTTTGAAGAGGCCAACATCGGGAAAAGCAAAATTGAAAAAATTCTTAATGTCTTCTCTAACTAAATATAGTGGGAATGAAATCAGCGCTCACATATTTTTCCAAAAATAAAAAGATTGCAAGCCAATAAGTTACCGTATCCTTAACTTCATTTAAAAGTTACCGTAACCATGACTTCAGCTAAAAGTTATTATATTACTTTCGAAAGCCCTGAATCTACTCTACAAAATAGTGTAAAAGATTTTGAATTGCATTGATTATTGGGGACTTGAGTGACTTTTAAGTTGAAAGGTTAAAAATGATCATTTTCTGAAAAATGTGTTTCAGAAATGATCATTCCCGGGTTTTCCATTAGAATATAGAAATTAGAATACGTTAGAATACCGCCAAATAAAGTTATTCCAGAATAACATAAAAAAAGAAAAACTCCTTTTGTTTTTTTCATCTTCTAGAGCTAAATCTTTGTTTAACCCATTCGAAACCGCAGCGTTTTTTCTTTTTTTTTCGTCTGCGGACCAAGCCCTTTTTTTGACATTTTTGACTCCGAAGCAGTTTATCCAGATGGTTGGAAAGATTTAAGAGAGTCTCCTACACGATTTATTTTTGATGAAGAACGATTTGGATTTGACTTCAGTACTTTTCAAAATCCTATCGATTATTATTCTTATTTTATCGACGACAAATTAATCAATATGTTAGTAGGCGAATCTAATAAACATGGAAAAAGGAAAACAAACTGGCAGGATTTCGATGCAAAATCTTTCAAGCTCTTCCTGGCTCTGTATTTTCAAATGGGAATCGTCAAATTACCGAGGATTCGTGACTACTGGAGTAGCAGGCCTGGATTAGGAGGATTTTCCCACATGTCCCACATTATGTCAAGAGCAAAATTTGAATCTATTCTTCGAAACCTGCGTTTTTGTGATAATGAACTGGATTCTGCAGGAGATCGGCTTTATAAGATTAGAGCTATTATGGAACATTTCAATGCAAAACCAGAGGCTGCATTGATTCCGGGTAAATATGACACATCTTTTTTGTCCACGTAATTTGTAGATCTATTACAATTGGAATATACATGTAATGCTGAAAACCAGCAAAAAAAAGCAATTAATTGAATGAAAATAGCTCAATTAGCGCTGCAGCGGTCCGTTCCTGAGTTTTTGCTGCAGCGATTATTCGCTGCAGAAGTTTCGAATGGGTTAAAAGCCCAATTTTAGGCCAAAAATGGCTACTTTCAACCTTGGATTCTCATATCTCGATAAAATCTAAGCTGGTCGTTTAAGTTTTGTTATAAATATTGAGTAATGTATATCTTTAATATACTGGAAAAAGTTCAAGCGAGAAGATCCGTGGAAGTGATAGTTGCCAACTAGCGCAGCTACCCAGGTTGTGACTCGATCTGCCGTTACTTTTTAACACCCAACTCCCCAATAATCAATCCAATTCAAAATCTTTTTGCACTATTTTGTAGAGGAGAGTCAGGGCTTTCAAAAAGTATACAACACTTATTGGCTGACGCTTGCAATCTTGTTATTTTTGGAAAGATAAGTGAGTGCTTGTTTCATTCTCATCACCCTAATATCTGAAATTTCTACCTCAGGAGTGTAGGTCAAATTCCGGTTACTTGCACTCATTATCGTGTAGTTGGTCATCCACAACTCGTAGTTTCCCTAAAAATCGTTTCTCTTGTTCATCTCTGTGAATGCAAACTCTTAAAACCGCAGCCTCGCTCATTTTTCCGATGTATTGCATTTCGGTGAGGTTCACCATGTAGTTGATTAGGTAAACGCCGCAAAATTGAATATCATATGGAAAGCTATAACAAAGAAATAAAAAAAGGCTGTTTTTACGGATATCTTTTCACTTACTTTTCGGTGTTGTTCGTTTGACAGAGAACGTCCGCCTGATAGGAGTCTCGGAGAAAGATTTTCCCGTTTGGGCTTATGCGGATGAAGTCGTTTTTCGTCTCAAAATAGCTACGTGCAACGCTGAAACAATTTGAAATCTAAGTCGCTGAAACAATTTAGGTTTAAAAAGGATAGCACTTGATGCTCTGAACACTCCAGAGTCAAAGAAAGAACAGAAAGTCACCAGAAAAAACTTCCAAAAAAGAGCTTTGCTTCAAAACTTCCCAAAGAAAACGATTGGGCAATGAGTCACATCAAAGAAAGAAAATTTTCCCATAAAGTTTTAGTTGGCTCTCAGTGTTTACCATTAAAAGAGACAATAGATTTCCCTTATTTCAAAAGACTTTCATTGATTAGGCCTGCTTTCTTATTACTTTATTAATTACTTGTCTTGCCAATCAGTGCCAATTTGCCAAATAGGCATATTAAGCGTGTTATGCTATTTGGGTTCGCTAACTTCAGACATCATCTACCTGCTCATCTTCAAGCCTAGTTCTAGACCACATAACAAAAGTATCATGACTCCCTCTCCAAGACTACATGTGATTGATGGACTACATAAGTTTAAAAATGGAGACAAATCTTTCGAATCCAGATCGAAAGCGACCGCCTCGGGCGACCGGTTGAAGTTGAAATTGACAAAATATTTGAGCTATTAAGCGAAAACAACCGAAAGACTACACGTGAACTTGGAAAAGACCTTGGTGTGGCAGTAGAACATCATTTGACAGTAGAATTCTACAGTTAAACATCATTTGTCTCAATTGGGTTATAGATCGGTTTTGGGGCAATGGATTCCTCATGCTTTAACTGACCCTATAAAAAGCCAGCGTCCCACTATAGCTGCAGCCTTGCTTTCACAAATTCTTACCCAGGCTTATTACAGGAGATGAAAAATGGGTAACTTCCATACTTCAATGATTGGACCCGGAGAAAAACCTTCTCCTGAACCTAAGCCTGAAACTCATCAGAAGTTTATGTTGTCAGTTTCGTGGGATCTTGCTGGTGTAGTGTATTGAGAGTTATTGGATAGCAAGTAAACACTGAACTCTCAACTATACAGTAATCAATTGCAGAATCTGGTTAAAGATCTTCAGATAAAAAGATTAAATCTGAAAAAGGGGCTATTGCAGCATGACAATGCCCGCCTACACATTACTAAACTGATTCGCTCTACAACCAAGAATCTGGACTCGGAACTTCTTCCCCACCCAGATTCCCCAGATCTAGTTCTATCAGATTACTATCAGAAATCAGATTTCGGTCAATGAAAAATGTCTTAGTTCGAGAGTACTTTAAAGATGAAAAAGGTACCAAAAAATTGGCACAGAAGCTTTGATTCAAAATCAAAGATTTTTACGAGAGAGGAATTCGCCTTCTGCCAGTAAAATGGGCACAGCTTATTGAAAAAGATTGAAACTATTTTGATTGATTTAGACGGTTTTATTGAATAAATATTTCTGTTTGAAATTGACTCATTACTTATCAACCACTCAATACATCTAAAGTCAAACTGAAAATTGAGCTGAACACCGAAATAAACGCTTTTTTATCGGCGACTCACTTCCCGAGGACACTATACGGTGGCGTTGTCACGTCACAAATTGGCAAATAGAGAAACGATCGATTGCCGTATTTGGCCGGGTCAAAGGTCAGCCTTTTGTCAAACCATTCCTAAATTTTGACTGAAACTTCAGCGAAATGCACCCACTAGTTCAATGTCGATCAACATGGTGATCACTTCTCCCTGATTTTTCACTTCCACAATTCGCATTAATGGAGTAGAGAAGTTCACAAAGAGAGTTTCATTGTTTCTTGAATTTCAGCTCTTTCATTGATTTCTTTAGCAAAACTTACATTTCCCATGGCGTCACTCGTTTCTCATAACCCTCCAATAGCTTGCTCGCATGATTAAAAGCTAAGAATGCCGCTTATTTAACGAAATCATCCGATTCATCTCACCTTCAACGTTGTACAAAAGAAAAACAGCAAGCCAAAACATTTGAGTAAGAAAGCTTTTCCAAATTCGACAGACTTTCGTAGACGAAAGAGATTTAGAAAACGAACACTCGCAAAAAAGCTTCTTTCACAAATCATTTCTCCGTTCATTTTTTGGATATCTTTGAGTGTTGGGAAAGCTCAAGATCAAGGCCATCACATCCCTCAAACATTTTTCAATTTCAGTTCCAGCACAAAAGGCCGAAAAATGGTTGAAAATAGAAGAAAATGAAGAGAAAGCATGGGTGGCAGCCTAGAAAATTTAAAGGGTTCATGCAAAGAGTTCAAAGGGTAAAAGCATCTGTAAAGTTCAAAGGTTCACACATTTTTGCAAAATAACCAGACAATAAGTTCAATAAATTGGACATTTCTGTGCGCAAGTGTGATCTCGAGTATAAGAAGAGTTACAATAGGACTTTAATGAAAAATTCGTTCATTTCAAGACGCCGATCTTTTGGCATTAGATAGTAGACAGGTGTAAGATATTCATATTAAAGTTTGAGCCACTTTCTGTGGTGAAATGGCTAAGAACTGACAGCTCGAAGATGCAGGAGTTTTAGATGCCCGTACAATCCGTATTTGACCATGAACTTTTGGCCATTGTATGCTCCACGACTAGAGTGTCTGTGTGTCAAAATTTCAGCTAAATCTGTGGTGAAATTTAAATCTTTTTTTGGTAAAATACGAATTTTACGGGCATCTAAAACTCCTGCATCTTCGAGCTGTCGTTTCTTAGCCATTTCACCACAGAAAGTGGCTCAAACTTTAATATGAATATCTTACACCTGTCTACTACCTAATGCCAAAAGATGAGAGAAATTCATGGTGAAATGTGGAAATTAGGGAGTGGCAAACTCGCCGACATTTCATATGCCCCAACCTAATAGAACCATTCCTGGCGAATTTCTTTCACATTAGTTTCGGTTATCAGACACTCGAAACTTCAAAAACTTTTCGTTCTCGTGCCTATAAAGATTTCACACTATTCACTCGAATTTTAAATACACGAGGGCAACATAACATTTTAAAATCCGATATTGGTTCATCCGATGTTTTTGCATTAACCCGTTCAACCCATTCGATCCACTTTCCCAAATAAAAAACATTTTTTATGTACCTTTTAGAGCATTTACAACATGTTTCAAGTTTCATCTTGCCGCTTTTATTCGATTTTCAAGCGTAAGCAGCTTTGAGGTAGCACTTGGTGGTTAAAGTACATGAGATTAGGCTAGAATTACCAAAAACAACGTCAACGATCTAAGCGGGTTTTCAATGCGGAGAAAATGAAGAAGAGCCGCAACGACAGCAAATCAATCGACTGTCCAAAATCAATCGCAAAGCAAATCAATCGACCGTCGCCACGCCTTTTGTACTTCCACCCGGATTGTCGACTCAGCTGCTGGGGCAAAAGCGATAGAGAAATGGACTTACACAAAAAGTTCTTCGATTGCTTTGTCTATTCGCATTTTAAATTCATCCATTGCCTACTTGTCTCTAATTCATTTTATATCATGTGATAAGAGTTTTTCAAAAAGAGCTACTCAACATGTGCCTTTCGTTTCTTTGCTTTTTCTGCGTTTCTTTGGAATGAGCTTTTGTGGGAAATAAATGATCTGCATTGGGAACGGAAAAGAGTGAAAGAAGGAAGATTTCAACTAGGTATTCGGTGTTAAAAACACAAAATCTGTATTAAAGATATGATATAAGTGCTTGACAGATTTTCGGATGGACTTGGAATCATCATATCATTCAAAAGCGCATTTAATCCCCAGTAAATTAGCATTACGAAAAATATACAGAAAAAAACTGTCTTGTTGTTGCGCCGCTTTCTATTAGGTTGGCAAGTTATAAACAATCGTTTTTGGGTAATGTGTTTTATAAAAAAAACGGCTTATCCAATCAAAAAACGGTTTGCTTTTGAGCTATATTATTTTCTAGCGATTTCTCTTGGAGCGGAAAAGAAAGAGCAACATCGATTATAAATTACGGCCAATATTGAAACCATTTAAATTGAACGTCCGATTTTGAAACAATTCAATTTCGGACGTCCGATTTTGAAACCTTTTATCTTTGAAATCTACTTTCCCTAAAAAAGTCATTTCACAAAGATTTTTATTAATTTTTTCGACCAAAGCTAGTCAAATGAAACACAATTCTAGTATGTTCAGCACTTTAGCAGCTTAACGGAATGTTTATCTTAAAACTATCGAAATTACTGATTTTTAATGATTAATTAAATTTATTTTAACAAGATAACACGATAAACAAACAACAACGAGTATATTAACAATAAAATAATCATTTATTTCTGCAGGTATTTGAGTGATGACATCGGGAATTGCAGAGTAGTCCCATCCGGTGGCATAAACAGCGATTCGAAGAGCATCCCCCGGAGCACATGCAATGTTTGTGTCCTGAAAAAACGCTTAAACAAGTTCAAAAAAGTAAACACTAAACCTTGTCTTCCAGTTAAAGAAGCTTCACCAACTGCTGAGCGCATTGTGGTTTCACTAAAGAGAACTTCACTTAAGTCGCTAAATTATTAGTTCAGCACCTTTTTTCACGGATCGATAGCATTTTCCTTGCTTGTTCTTCGAGTCCAATTTTTGTTTTTTCTTCCGCCCGTTGAATTGATTTTCTATTGATGTCACCATTGTCTAAAAATAAACAACATTAGCTAGGTAAATAGTTTTGAACTTTAAATAAAAAATTTAACTCGGAAATGTAAAAACAAACCTTCATAATTCTTAACTCGATCTTCAATTGTTTCCGGTTCAAAAGCAGCTGGTGGCTCAATATTATCTAAAACAAAAAATAATAGGTTACCAATCCGGAAAATTATTACTAATCTACATCATCTTCGTAGAATGATTCCTCTAATAGAAAAAATAAAGTTTTAATCGAAATTTACAAAAGGATACAATTTCAAATGTCAAACACTTCAGGCTACTTTGAGAACGTCTATTTACGCGATGAAAAACATTTTGCTTACTCAAGCAAAAACACTTTTTTGATTCGGCAAGATTCTCGAAAAAGTCCTTCGGTCTCGTCCCGGAGAGTTCTGTACTGTGCATTTGATCAAATTGTGTCATAAAATATAATAAAACCTCTTTGATTCCCGAAAAAGTCCTTCGGTCTCATCCCGAAGCATTTAGTACTGTACATTCGATAAAATTGTGCAACGAAATGTGCTGAGAATTTAAATTTGAAAAGTACTAACTTGAATCCATCTCATAACCAGTTTAAAGGAAAAACTAAGCATTTTTGACACTAATAAACGTTGAACTGTAAACACATCCCGAATGAGCTTTGTCTGCCTGCACAAACGAAAAGCTAAAAAACGCTTAACTTTGTTCAAATTGAAGAAATGAAGGCTGTTCAGCTGAAGTTTTGCTTCTTAAAACGTTTTATTCAAACATTGCTTATTATGTAAAAAATGTAAGCCAGTAAAGTTGGAGTAATAAAAATGGTTCAAAGAAGCACCTAGTGTCTGAAAGAATGAATACAAAAACATGATAGTTTAACTAAATGAAAATTGAAACAAAAATATGATTGAGTGAAACTAAGCATCTTGGGATGCTTGCTTGTTCAAATAAAAGGATTTGTATTACAGGGTGCGGCAGAGTTACGTAGGCACTTGAATGCATCTCAAGCAAACACTATACAAATCTCATCTGAAAGCACTAAGTGTCATATATCATTTAAAAGCTTGAAGTCTTGTCTAAAATAGTGTATCATTGAGATGTTGATGAGAATCTTTTGTAACCAACCAGAGTGGGATTCTTGCTTACTAACTTCGGCACCCCTTTGGGCCACTGTCATTTTTTCTCAATATTGAAATACATAAATTTTTCGAGCTCGAACGAACCTTGTTGGTTCTGGTTCTCATCAAAAATATTCTCATCAAAATTTCAATGATACATCATTTTAGAGAAGACTTCAGGCTTTTAAATAATATATAACGCTGAGATTTGTATAGTGTTTGCTTGAGATGTTGAGATGCATTCAAGTGCCTACGTAACTCTGCCGCACCTTGTATATTGAAGTCGTTTCAACTCGTTCATCTTGCCATCTTGGCACTTTCCATCATCGAACACAGCTTTTAAGATCTTCTGAAAAGTCGATGGATTGACGTATTTATCTTGCTCATGTCTAATTGTTTAAAAACTTTATCAAGTTACTAGTTTGACATTCTCAGCTTACAGGAGACATTGAGTTGACTGGATTCGAAAGGGCCTGTTCACAAAGTCTTGCCATTAAAGTGACTATTCAATTTCTATATGGATAGAATTTAGAGTTATCAGTTTATATTCAAAACGATTGTTGTTTTTTTAACATTTCGATCGATTAATGATATGAATCCAACTTTTTGTTAGGTTAATGCTTTGTTGTATCACTTTAGCCTGTAATTGAAACAGTCATTTAATACGGCAACATTTATAATATAGAATCTTAAAAGATATTTCTGTTTAGATTTTCTAAACAAATCGAGTCTCTCAAACACTTGCCCTAATCAAATGCTTGATTGTTTTGTGATTTAGTGCCTATTTGGTGTGTGTCAACAAGGTTCTCCATTGATACCAATGATAAAGACTATTTAAATATTTCTAGACTCACTTTGCCTAGACAAAATAAAAGATGCATTTAACAAGGGACTGTCTCATTGAAGTGTTTTGAGTTATTTGCCTAAAACTCTGAAAAGGACCTTGAAAACTCTTTTACCCAGCAAGCCCTTGGGTGACTGAATGTATTGGCTGAAATGAGAGTTGTCTACACCCCATCAATGCAGTTGCCAATTAATTTGATGTTAACAGAAACATTTAAGTTTTATTGAGTACTAAGCATAAAAAGTGAAACAAGATTCTACACAAATGACTGGCAATTTTGAGGGCTATGCCATTAGAGCTTGCCGTTTTTGTTGATTCATAAAAGTGGACTAACGGTGCCAATTCAATTTATATTAACATTGTTGTTCAGATTATGCAAACTGCACTTACTAGGAAA